TTGGGAGTTATTTAATTCATATTAGTTCATGAATTTTACATGTTTGGATTTAACTTTTTAAGGTCGTTCTGGAAAGGGGTAGGACATTTGGCTGCTGTTCCGCGTAAACACAGCAGTTGCTATCTCTCTGGGTTACCAAGTCCTCCTGGTGGGTGCAGTAACTTTGAGCTAACCATTGTCTTTGAGCAAACAACTAAGTAGCATCTCCCAGAGCAGCCCCGTTACTTACTGTCTGGAGTTGACTTGAAAACAACTCTATTATTATTTCCATCACATTGAATTGATACGGAAGTCAATCACTTTCCCAGGCTCCACAGCTGAGAAGAGGCAATGCTGGGATTCAGAGTCCGGACACTTGCCACTGAATCATCCGGCCTCCCACATTCCTGACCCTCGTACTTCTTTTCTTTTCCCCAGCACCTCCCATATCCCCCATCAGGTCAGTTCTCCCGTTTACAATGTCCCTTTTACCCTTTCCTCTGCATGAGCAATAATTCTCATGTCCACACACGCTGGACACTTTTCCAAGCACGGTCACGCCCATCATCTCATTAGATTATCGGAAGTCCCGCGATGTGTGCCGGTAAGGCCCAGCAAGATGAACTGGACTGCGGACAGTCATTCCAGAAAAAAGGCAGAATTTCTCCAGTTGTCATCCAAATGACCTGTGGCCACTCTGAATCAGGTTTTTTTTTTTTTCACTTTGTGTGTGGACTATCATGATAATTTTAAGAAAATCAACTTCCCTAATTCAATTTTTCTTCACTCTAGGCCATGTCATCTGTCAACTCATCTGAAAAAGCCCCTTTACTGGGTCATTCCCCTGCCTACTATGGTTCTTGAGCGTCTACTGCATAAAGGCCAAAGTTCTTCGTCTGAATTTCGAAACCCTCCGTCATCAGATTCACAGCACCCTTTCCAGGTCCTCTCCTACTGATGGCTTGTTCTCTCTCCCTCAGAAAGAAGCCACATGCTCCGCCATGACTTTATGGGCTTGAGTTACTAGAATTCCCTGGAATTTCATAACCCCCTATATCAACATGATATCCTAGCCATTCAAGCAAGACCAATCCCAAACTGGAAACCTTTATAAAGTGTTTTCTGATTCCCCCAACTGGAATCCTGACTTCCCAAAGTCTTTATTCAGCTCATTCAAGTTTAACATCACATAGTAGGTACTATGTGCTGAGCACTGGGAATCAAACGGCATATGATAGTATCTCTGTGACTCATTGGATATCTGCTGACTCAGGGCTCCTGTGTTTGTCTTGTCTCCCCCATTAGATTGGAAGATCCTGACTGGAAGGGACCATTCTCCCCATCAGTGCCTGGAACCTACTGGACACTCACTAAGTGACTGACAAGTGAATTAATGGTGTGGGGCGTCAGATGAGTTGGCTCAATTTAGAGGAAGTGGACAGACAGGAATGAACCTTTCTATACAGGAATCAGTAAGGGAGTCATCTGGCTGAAAACAGTGGGCTCTGTGTTGGAGGAAGAATGAGCCTAAGGATGGATGAATAAGAAAGACTGATTCGTAAGGGTTTTGAATGCTAGGAAGAGAAGCCTGGACTTTTCAAGGGACAACCGAGGTGCCATTTTAGATTCTGACTCAGAGAAGGGACATGATGGATAGCACAGTGCTGGGGTAGCTAAGGGTGGGCAAGAAACAAAGGTAGGGAGAAAACTGGGGCCAGGTGACTCTAGTGAGAAAGCCCGAAGATGCCGTGGGCATGGCTGTGATGGCAGCTCCGGGTATACAGAAGGAGGGCAGATAGAGTGTAAAACTGTGTTTCTCAACATTGGTCCCTCAAATGCCTTTGTCAGAATCTCTGGGAAACTGCTTAAAATGTGAATGTCCAGGCCTTACCCCAGACCTACTGATCTGTGGGGTATTGGCCCACATTTATGACAAACTCCCAGGTGATTGTTATACACACAAAAAAATCTGTGATTTGATTACCAATGGAAAAGAGTGGAAGTGGGATTTGACTGCCAGACTGAGGCAGCCGTGCATTTGAGAGAAGGCAACCAGCCCTCCTTTTCCAAATGAAAGAAAATAGTTTTAGGTTGGAGAATATATATTAGATGTTCTACCCAATAATTTCTCAACCATGTATTTCCAAAAAAATAAAAAGCTGACACTGATTAAACACAACATTCATCTATTCAGCTGTTATTCATTGTGCACCTACTATGTGGCAAGGACTATTCTAGGCTGTTGGTGTTATTATCGGACAAACCAGAAAAAGACCCCTGCCCTTGTGGTGCTTACATTCTAGAGGAGGGGGCTGGTAAACGAACAAAAAATGAACAAAACAGAAAATAGATAATTGAATTATATAGCATCTTAAAAGTGATAAGTGCTAAGAAAATAAGAGTGGGTGACAGGGATTAGGATAGTCAAAATAAGCCTTATTGAGAAAATAATATTTGAGCAAAATTTGAAGTAGGCAAATAAGTTAGACCTGCTGACATTTGGGGAAGGCTGCACCAGGCAGAGGGAACAGCCAGGGCAAAGAACCCCAGTATGTTCCAGAAACAATGGATGGACTGAGTAGCGTGCGCAGAGCAGCAAGAGAAAGGGTGGTAAGCGCTGAGAACGGTAGGTAACCAGGGGACAGACCTCAGAGAGCTTTCTTGGCCTT